CCCCAAAACCCCAAAACCCCAAAACCCCAAAACCCCATGACTTTTCGAAGAAGTTGAATGGAATAAATCAACAGCGAATTATTTTTTGAATCTTAGTTCTCTTTTTATCCAAGATAATAAAATATCTCAGGGAAATGGCCGGAATACACTCCTGTTCCATTGCAGCTCTCTCCTCCACTCTCTATTTCAAACAAACCCATATGCTCATTCTCAACATCCTTATAATCATCTCCTCTCTGGCCACTAAAAGTTTCAACATAACTGCGGTTAGCCAAGTTCTCAGCAATCCAGCATGTGAATTCAATCTTAGATCCTGCTGATGCATTGTAGACTCCATTGAGTCTATGTCTGAAATAGTATTTATCTTCCCAATTTGTCCCAACTATTGTTTCATCTTCTACGTCAACTCCGTCTATTCTGACTCTGTACCTGATTTCATAGGAATCTTTTTCCCTTGCGGCAAATGTAGAGAATCCACATACTTTGATATTTTGTGTTGGCTTGAACATGATTCCATCTGGAGATCCTCCAGAGTTAGACCAGCCCCAACTGGTGTTCACCTCCTGAAATCTATTGAATTTGAAGGGCTTGCCAAGCCCTTCAGATGCATATAGAATGTCACCATCCTTAATTCCATCGATGGTGGCTAGGCTCTGGTCTTTCTCAATCATTTTACTATTGAAGAATAATTTGTAGCTCATAAGCTGTTCTCCAGCTCCATCGAAGGGGCCTTCGAAGGCGTTCTCGAACTTGTCATAGATCTTCGGAGTTGTCTCTATTGTCAGGGACTTCTGGCCTTCTATCTTTATTAATATTGTTAAGGCATTAGTGAAATGATCAAAATCTTCTTCCTTAGTAATTTCAATAGAATCAGTTCCTCCTTTCTTCGCTATACTTGCCCAAATTGGCTTGTAGTTATCATCTGTTTTTAGATCTAGTACCTTGTACCACTCATGTGTCTTTTTATCATAAACCAGCTTACCCTTGTTAAAGACAAGAGAAGTCTGACCCTTAAAACTCTTGATAACATTTGCTTCTGACATGCTAGATATTTGGTAAAGTCATACATCTCTTTAAATGGGCTTCCTTATCAAAGACAATTGTAGGCTACAAGAAGACTTGTCTGGGCCAAAAGGTATCCAATTTGGACTACATAAAATTTTCTTAAAGCTTTGCTAACAACTAGTCATCAGCTAAAGTAGAGAACTCGTTCATCCTCTTGTTTAATACATAATATTTAACTGTACTCATAACCTTGCTAAAAGATATTTGCTAGTTAAGATTTCGAGATAGCAACAAGAATAAAGAATCATATCAGATATGCTCGATTCCCAAATTTAATTTATAACTATTAGAAATTGTCATATTGCCATACTTATTTCTAGAAATTCGGGAATGATCTAATGAAATTCCAAAAGCTTAGATATTTTAGTCATTAAAATCTTTTTATCAAAATCTTTCATGCGATATATTCCTAATACTCAAGATTCTTATAAAGCATTTTATATTTAGAACCTCAATGTAGTATAAAATGTCTTAGAAAGTTTATTCAAAAGGGTTTTGGCACTATTCCTTATTTCTTCACCACCTGACGAATTAATTTGAAACTAATCCCAATAGAAATCAAGGATATATTGAGCACAACTTACACTATATCTCCATCACCTTTCTTTTTCATTTCCGCCTGGTTAAATTCCTTCAGCGAAGACGTTATATTCTGAAATGGGAGGCAGTCCTCACCTAGAGTATCCCTGTAAAAGGACTCCTTATGGAACGAATATACTTGAGATTTCTCCATTTCCACTTAATTTTCTATAATCCGAATAAAATCTGGGGTTTTGGGGTTTTGGGGTTTTGGGGTTTTGGGG